ACGTAAAATACAGGTAGACGGTACATTTGGATACCGTCTGATATTGAATTTTTAAATATTGAAAATGTTGACCCTTTTTGGAGGAGGCCTTAATCTAGGCTTGGTAAAGGTCATACAAAGTGTGTTTGAAATCCTCTGAAATTGGATTTAAGTATTGAACATGTTGACGCTTTGTGGGGGAGGTACCAGAAGGAGTGGACACATATTCCCCATCTTCGAACATGAACTAAGTTTGATAGAAATATTACAATTATCGTGTGCACTAGCTTCAAATGGGGGCTATTTCAAAACATGGACTCAATTATTTTTGCATTCATTGTTACCCAAAATTGGAAATTTTTCCCATCCTCAAAAATATACCAGACAAAAGTGTATATATATATATACCTATATTTATATTTTTATCATATAGCGATCACATTTCCGGATCCAGAACTTTTAAGACATATTTTTCATACAAATCCTTACTTTTATAGCGAACCACGGATATAACGAACTTTTTTATAACGAATTATTTATTAGGTCCCAACCATGGTACAATTATAAAAGGTAACAGACAAAATTTTGATTTGATTATATATATATATATATATATATTTGACAAATTATGTTTTTAAAAATCACCCAACAGGAAAATTGGGAACGGATACAATTTGAAATTGTTCTTTTTTAAATGTGCTCCCGTATTCAATTTACTCAATCTGCCTGCTGGGAAAGTTTGAGGAATATCTTTCTTGAAGGAATAACTTATTCCCAGCATTTTCATATGTGTTACACATATATATGGCAATGGCTCAATTAAATGAAAAACGTAGAAGCGATAGAAATATAAATTTTATAGATTTATTTTTCAATTTTTATTTTGAGGATTACAATTTAATTTTCAAAATAAAAATAATTTTGATAATTTGTTTCATTGTTTACATTTTTCTGTCAAATGAGTTGATATAACAAATTTCCATGTTTTTTATAACGAATTATTTATTATTCAGTTTTCATATATTTTAATTTGGTTATAGCGAACATGCTACAAATATACGTAATACTGACAAAGACAATACTCACAAAAGTTAATTTTTACTTTAACGTTGGCAACCTTTACAAAAAGTGTCAGCCGTAATGTGAAATTCATTAAAGAAAAGGGGAAGCATTTTAAGAATTATCAAAAAGAACACAAAACCTACCAATTTCTAACTGAATATACACACTTTTCTACTAAGCCTATATTATGCCTTACCTTGGATATAACACATTACCCAAAGTTCCTCTACACTGCAGACTTTACAGATATTTTTCGATTGAGAAGCAAATTTTGACCTACCTTCGAAACCAATTGATTTTATAAAAATTTGGAAAGACAATGTGTTTTTTTATATTTAAAACTTATCGCACTTTTTCGCACACCCTTTTTTGATAAATACAATAAACATTTCATTGCTTAAATATTCTTGTGTTCCGATTTATTTTCAGTATTATTTTTCAATACAAATATTTATGAACACCGCGAATATTTTTAGAAAACACACCATTCACGCAAATTATTTCTTTGTGAAAAACGCCTTCTTGATGGTTATTGGATGTATTGATTGCTAATTTATAATTTTGAACTTTTCTAAACGTAAATAATTTCTTTTTAATGAGTTGGTGGTCGGAAAAATGTGGTCAATTTTTAAAAATAAAAAAGGAAGGAAAAATTGGTCAATAATAAAAATATTATTTTACATACAATGACGTACAGACGTAAATTATTGCCGTAAACATCAATGTTAATAGAGTATTTTTTTATACTTTTTTATAAGTTTCTGTGGTCTACATAACTTATATGATCATTACCACACCTTATAAGTAAATATCGCGAAATTTTACTTGAGCTTGTGTAGTTGATTATCATATGATCGGCCCCATCCGACAATACTGATCCGCTCAATGGTTGTACTAAATTAGTTTGTTGCACGTATTTGTAGTTAATGAACAACATAAAGTAACATTAACCAGCAAGGAAAATTCAAAAGTCGGTCGGGGTTCACTTTGTGTACATACAAGAGATGCTCATACGTACAATGTCCTGTCGATAGAACATACATATTTTCTTTAGAGGAGCTATATCTAAATCTGAACCGATTTGAACAAATCTTCGCATACACCAATCTGTACCTAATTCAGTACGTTGTGCAAAATTTTGTCTTAAACCGGCAAACATTTGTGTTATATCTAACTCTCAACCGATTTTCTCCAATTTCAGTACGGTTCGTCCTCGGGCCAAATAAGACTTATGCAAAATTTCAAGTGTAACACATTTGATTCTGGGACTTAAATGTGTTGTTATAAAAATTTAAAATAATAGAAAAGCAATTGGCGAATAGGTCCAGAAGTCTATTGTTGATGAAGCAAAAAGTGCTGTATTCTTTTCGTTTTTAGCGGCTGAATATTTCCGTAGATGAGCATATTTATATTTTTCGACAAGGTATCTAAAAAAGTCAAAAAATTTCCCTTTGCTACGTGGAATTAGTAGGATTAATAAAAAATTTCAACATTTTTGAAAAGGCAAGGATATGATGGCGTGCCTAAAATGTCAGGCAATTTTAATGGAGTTCAGGCCAATATTAAATCAAAATTACCTTGTGCAGTAAGCATTAATTGTCCCTCATTTTAAATTCAAGTTTAAATGCAGCAACAAAGATTCGAAAAATTCGATGTATATTTTCTACAATTTTGAAAATTCTTTCTTTTCATTCTTTTGACACATCGCTCATTTGCTGCAAGACAGGCATAACTCAAAAAACGTGATTTTCGAGTTAATGATGCACGATTGTTCGCTATAATAGATCTCATGTTGTGTAAAAAATTCATATGAATATCTCTTACACACTCTGATTGTAACACTAAAGAATTTCCTCTGTTCTATGTAATGTCTGTGTAAATTGAAAACTTAAAACGCAGTTTCTGCAAAATCGTTTTTTTAGTTATCCCTGTCTTGCAGTAAATGAGCGATGTGTCGAGTTTTTTTCCTTCTGGAATTTTCATATATTCATCAAGGTCTTTTATAATCAATATAAATTTTCCACCCCCAGACCATGACCTCTAGTTTGTCTCACAATGTTGTTAATATTTGTGTGTAGGGGTTAGATAAATGTGTACTGAGCCTAGTAAATGGTAAACATTTGCTATCAGAATTGGTAGATAGGGTTGAAAATGAGATTTCGGACAGACGTAAATCGACATAGAGTTATAAGTCGTACGTTTATATAGGCGCCATGCTAAACCTTGATTTAAGAACGTTGACAATTGTCTGCCAATGTTGTTTAATTCTTTGAAAATCCAAAATTTTACTTTTACCCATATCACCAAGAAAATGTTGCTATAACCTTTAAAATACGTAAAATATGGCGGGACCTTTATATGGGTCTATGTCAAAATAGTTTTCTACTATGAAGTTCACCCACCAAGAACCAAAAACGCCTGCATATAATAACTTCGTTGAGAAATTTCGCATAGTTTCAATAAAATGACTGATTTTGGGATGGGATTTTTATATGAGGATTATGTCAAAACGAAAAAGTTTTTACCCAACAAAATCCTATGACAGACACTTTGGTTAAAAATGGCTAAAAATTGTGTTTTTATATGCCAATCCTTGCGGTTAAAATATTCATAATACTGAAAATGGGACAAAATCATCTTTTATGTGAAATTTATATACTTAAATCACAATCTCATATTGTACGATGCCCCAATGACGTAAATCTGGCCAGTGGCATAGATAATGTATGTAACTTAAAACCGGACCTTAAAAAATACAAAGATGTTGTGTAAATATTTTCTTTGTAGCCAAAATATTTGTAAATGTTGTATAAAGAAACTAAATTACAACAAACGCTAGAAATCAATCAATTTTTATTGATGTTTCCATTTTGTTTCGTTTCCGCAAAATTTGTTTTCCATTGAGTGGTGGATTAACATTATTGTGGTTTAACGATCGGAACACATTCTTTATATTCGAAGCCAGCAACAAGTTCCGAAATTGATTTCCAATTCAAATTCGAAGTGGAAATAATGTGCTTGTGTGTATGTTTGTTTGTTTTGTAAACGCTCTAATAACTCCCCCTACAAGAACAGAACTGATGAGATCCATTTGTTGGCTGGCACTCAAATATTCTACAGATAGATAGCTTTGCCATGGATTTCTAATTCGTTAACAACCCACCACCACCACCTCCGTCATCATCGCCGCCAGTGGCAACATAACTGGCAGCTGTTGCTTTAACCCCATCACTCGCTCGCTGGCGGTGATCACAGATTTCAGTGTTTGGCGAGAGAGTTAAACTGAAACTGGGGAGCATTTGAACTGGAAGCGTTCTCGTTCATTGTCTGTCATCTTAGCGAGTATGTTAATGCGGCGGACAATGTCGGTCGGTCACACATCTCCATCTATTCAGTCACCCATCCATCCGTCCATATTTATAGTGAATGCATGTGTGTTTGTGTAGCACGTTTGTTCTACTGAGCATTCAAAGCTTTCAATTGCTGGTGTGTGCTGTGCTGTGCGGTGCTGTTGTTGTTGTACTATTGTTTTCTGTTTACATTTTTTCTGTTGTTGTTGTTTTCTGTTGTTTTTTTGCTGTGCTCTTCGGTCTCCGTTTGTGTTTTCGCAGAGTAAATGCAAATATTAACAACGTTTGTGTTTTGTTGTTTAGTTCATTCGTGGCCGTGGCCCTTGACAGTTGTCTATTTTTCGTTTGTCGTTTTTGCCGTTACGTTCCGTTGCGTTCTTTCGCGCCTTTCGTTCGTGATTGTTGTTGTTGTATTTTGGATATTTGAAGCGCCGTGGCGTTACCAAAAGAAGTTCTAACACAAAACATCGTGTCGTGCGTTCCGACAAACCAAAGAACTCAATTTGTCTAATTATTCCGTTGAATAATTGCCCCAAAAGATAAATTATACAAAACCATAAAAGTCCCATTTTAATTAAGATTAAAATTTGAAACTTTGAATACAACGAAACTCCAAACCAAAGAACAATGGGTTGTGCAACCAGAACCATTAAATGTATCCTGCTAATATTCAACACGCTATGGGCTGTAAGTTTCTGTTCTATGGGATACCCAGTTTTTGTTATGGTGTTTCGAATTTAGCCTTTTAGTTTGAGAATCTAGAAACAATCTGCCATGCTAAGAGATCCCCGACTTTTGTTTTGGAATTTGCAAACCCGTTTGAACTTTCTCTACCATTTTTGTGGTTTTCGAATACCTTTGGCATGGAATTTCCCTTCTAGGGTTTCTATGCTAATGACAATGACAATCAAGACAATAAATGATGTTACCGGTGATGGCGATGATGATGACACTGCTGATGGCGATGATGATGTAGTTGGCGTTGACGTAGTCACTGCCCACAGTTTGATATCAAATGTTCCCAACAACACTACACAGCGTGTTAGCTACTGGTTTAAACATGTCTTGTGTATCACCTTGGCGAATGATATCATCTCAGCTAGCTAGCTCAAGTCGCTTTTCGAGTCGTGTGGTCGCAGACATAGTGCTAGCATAACTATTTGAAGAGGGTGTTGTGCGTGTTAAGTCATAGAAATTGTTCTACGTTACGTTATAAAAATAATCGCTCGATTTTATCTGTATTCATCTGCCAACATTACAGAATTCATAGACTGATCTGCCGATGACCCCCACATCTTCCACACCCCTTTTGATGCCGAACATGTGTGTTAGAATCGACAACAAAAACACAGTGTTCAGAATTACAAATGATATTGACTGAATGGAAGATTTCGTTTTATTTTATTACTGTTCATAAATAAAAAAAACAGATTAAAACATATGTATCAGCTTTGAGCCTTGATAGTTTAGCTAGCTATAAAAATTATGGGTGCCATACACCCATACCTTGGATTATCTCTTAACTAGTTTCTTGACATTTTTATGTTAATTTAACAACATATCGAGCCATATCGTCTCAAATCGATTGCATATGTTAAACATTTTTCTCCTAATAATTTGTTAAAGCATATATAATGTGAATATGTTTAACAATAGTCTTAAAGTAAACAAAAAACTATGCTAAGTTCGGCCGGGCCTAACTTTTTTATCCTTCACCAAAATATCTAAAAGTATTGTGGGCTCCTTGGAGAAAACTCATGTTATGACAAAACCTTGAACTTATCGAAAAATACGTGAGAAAAAGATGATTGAAATTCTCAAATATCTAATAGAGAGACTACCACAATATGGGGTTATAATAAAACGGAGATCAATATTGATAGTTTTTAAGTAGTGAGACTTGACAGCCAATGATAATATAAAATGCCATATTACAGCCAATTTGATCAAAATCCCCATATTGAGGAGTTTCATATTATGTGGACTACCCTTAAACGTGGTTCAATATTAAAATGTTTTATTACGGAAATATGCTATACAATGAGAACCCAAAATACAAAATTACAGCCAACTTGGTTGGAAAATGTGCCCCAAATCCATAAAATATCTGATACGGAATTCGTTATTTGGTGGTTACCCTTTAACTTGGGTCAAAATTAATAATTTTTGGCACGGAGAAACTTGGGTTCAATGAGAATCCAAAATACTAAATTACAGGCAGTTCGTTTGGAAAAACGTGTCTAAAATGCTCAAAATACCGAATATTGGGGAATACCGCTATATGGGGGCTACCATGAATCTTGGTCAATATTAATTATTACAGCCAATTTTGTTGAATAATGTGTGCAAAATCCCCAAAATACCGAATATTGGTACCCTTATATGGGGGCTACATCAAAGCGTGGACCGATGTATGCGAGTGTTAGCAATGTATGTGCTAAATTTTATCATTATCAAGAATATATGGGACAAAATTGCCAATTTTTTGAAATTCCATTTCCAAAAAAATCGTTGTTGTTTTGTTGTTGCATTGAATTACCGAAAAACAAGTAAAACGCGAATAATTTCCGAAAACTCTAAATGCCCGATTTTGGTTTGCGCCATAAACAAATACATCGATATATACCAATTTCTATGCGGTCCATTAAGGACCATGAATTACGTAGCTCACAATATTTTTGAGATAAATTGGGTACATGTCTCTTCTGGCTGAAGTTTTTAAAGTTCTGTTTTCGCAAAAGATCAAAATCCGTTTCAGATGTTTTTTTGAAAGTGAAATTTTCCACAGAAAATTTTTTTTTTGAAAAATTTAAATTAAAACTAGAAGATAAATTACAAAAAAAGAACCACTAAAAATCGAGCTTCAAAATGTCAGCGTTATTTAAGGGTAGACACAGATCAATTTTCGAAAAATGATAAATAGGGACGTAATCCTCATTTTGTAGGCTTTTAATTTTACCTTGGTACGAATGCCGTGAAATTAATGGCTAAGCCACATATCGAGAAAAAACATAAAAACCCTGGGTTGTCTCACCCCATTGTTACCCATTTTTTACGTTAATTAGACACAGCATCCAGGTATATAAACTTTGGAGGTCAATATCATGAAAAGTTCGAAACGAGAGATCAATAAATCCAGAACAATTAAATTTTTTTCAGGTACTTTAATAATTCCGGATTAGCCGCGGCTTCAAAATATAAAAATTTAATATACACTCCACGTTATTGTAGAGGGTGTAATTAATAAAAAGGCTGCATTTTTATATCCACAGTCGTAATGTGCGCCCGATATAACGATTAATATATTGGCAGGTCCATTCGTTAAAGCAAAAAATTCGTCACAACGCGATGTTTTTCAGATGCAATTTTATTAAAAACATCTTTAAATAGTTTTTATAAGATAAATGCATTATTCCTTATACCCAGTATGCAAACTTGGAAAACGTTTTTTATATGCGGTTGATAGTTTAATATGACCGAACGAATGACCGAATTCATTAAACTAAGTATGCGTTATAACAAGCGTTGCCTGTATGTAAAATCTGTGAGGATCTTATATGGGTCTTATGTTTACACAGAGGTTTTATCCCAACTACATGTATAGTTAGTCATTTTCGAAGAAGTAAGGTCCCATCACACCTTCGGAGAAAATAACGCATTAAAGTGAAATTTTCTATATGCAATGGCCTCTCTTTAATTACTTGTGAATTCTCAGAACCCCAAATACGAGAATCTTAATTATTAATATACCGATTTTGTAAACCAAAGCACGATATGTAGCAGAATCATCATTTTTGTAGTAGGTTTTGATAATTTTTATTTCAGATCAATATCAGACTTTCAACTGAAAGAAAAAATGGTTTAACAACTTAGTTTGACAGATGACGAATTGGACAACTTTTTACTTCAATTGATCATGTGTTTTGCTCATAGAATACTGGTCAAATTCCACAGCCAACATTTAAAATGTCTTTGCGCATCATTTCTTACCCAAAGCCGAATACAGGGCCTTTAATTCGAATATTAAAAAATCAAAGACATTACCAAAGCACAACTAACCATTTAGAATTAATAAAGATCAACTGGTCCTTATAAACCCCAATGTTCTCAATACAGACCCATTGGTCTTTATTCAGGCCTGTGATTTCTATACAGACCTGTGGACTCTCTCTCTGTGGACATTACAGTTTAGTGCTGCTTTTCTTAAATTATTCAAATTTATAATTGTCCAATTATTGAAACCCAAGGTATAATATAAACAGAATCGAAAATGTTTTTTCCGTTTCCAAACACTGTGTTTTCCTATTGTTGGTGATTTCTAATTGATGACATAGACAATATCTGTCACTTTATTACCCAGGTCAGGGTGTTTCATTAAATTAGACTGTTTGCCAACTGACTATAAATCACCGATGTTATGCTCTTTCGTCGCCTTAATGTAATTGAATACGAATGTGAACAGTAATCCTAGCCACATCAAATTGAATGGCATGTTTTGTACGTTGTGAAGTATGAAATTAAAGAGTAGTAATTAAATTCAAAGGAGTGGCTGTGTTTTTATTTCTGCCTAGGGACATATTTCAAAAGGAAGTGTGAAATAAATTATTTTTGAAACAATTTATTATATATTTTTATTACATATGATAAGACGTTGTCAAACAATGAGCTTACGGTTTTGGCGTTATTCAATACTTTTTTTCCTTAAAGGAAACAAATTAGTTGTTGAAATTTTCTTTTAGAAGCTATACGGAATTCTATGCAACAATTGTAGTGACGCCAATGGCACATACACCACACCACAAATCTACGTGGGCATAAACATTTGACCATGTTTTCCCACCAAAACGAAACAAACAAAAACCACGTCTTTTATGAGTTTTCTTCTTGCAAAAGCACTTGAATTGCTCAATTTTCAAATCAAAATATGTCTTAATTGCCGCCTTTTGTGTAAGTGTGTGCGTTTCTTTTCCGTTTCACTTTATGCTTCTCGGCATATTTTTAGTTTATGGGTGCGTAGGAAAACATATTTTTCTAGAAATGAAATTAAAGTGTTTTCTTCTGTGTAACTGTGTGTGTTGTGTGCCTGGCCATTTTTGTCTGTCTAACTGAGTTCGTATTTTATGGCTTAGTTTTTTTTTTTTGTTTGCTTGTAACGAAGAATTGAAAATCTGACCGCAACCATAATAAATTGGAAACAGTGAAGAGATGTGGGTGTTAGACTCAATATATTTTGAACATCGATAAAGAAAATTTAACAACAACAATTTCTTTAGGTTACTCTTCCAATGAACCTCGTTTGTTGCGTTTATTTTTGCTGTGTTTGTGTTTTGTTTTTTTGCGATTATTAAGTCATTCATAATAAACAAATGACATTTGATTAATTTCTCTCCATAATGAGATCGGCCCCCTTTTTTAGCATTTGTTTATTTTCAGCTGCTGCTTTGCGACCGACAATGCCAATCACAAGGAGTAAAAGTCATTTAATGTGTCTGGGAGCAATGCCAAATAATAACTGTAATTGTGGTGACGATTGTTTACTATCGCATTATTAAAATCCAATTAATATTTCAATCCAAAGTCAATTTGCATTCTTGAAAAATTGTTGCATTAATTCGCATAGCGCGCTTTATAACAATTGAGGGAAATTAGAGAAACATGAATTTATATTTGAATCACACGAATACACC